GGGGGGGGGGCTGAAATCTTATTTCAGCAGCTATGTCAAGAGGCTTGCAAGAGACTGGACAGTAGGCGTGGGGCACTGTCCGACATGTCCCTTCCCCCTTCTCCAGATGAGCTGCAAAGCGCCCTGTGCTTCCCGAGCAGGTGGGCACGCAGCCGGGGATGCTCTTACCCTGGGGCCGGTGGTGCGGTGGCCGCCGGCGGGGGACAGCTGCACCAGCACGAGCAGCAAATGGGGCGTGAGCAGGCGGACGCAGCGCGCGGGCAGCATGGTGCCAGCCGGGCCGGGCAGCCGCGAGCCGGCAGTGGGCAGGGGTCGCAGGCTGGCTTGGTTCGGGGAGCCCTGGCGGCTGCCGGGAGCGCGCGGCGAGCTGCGGCGGGAGCTGGCAGAGGCTGGGTCCGCGGGCCACGGTCATGAACCGCCCGGATCCGGAGCGCGAGCGTGTGCTGTGCGCGCGGTACCCGCTGCGCTCGGCCAGGCCGTGGCGGCAGCAGGTTGGATACCGGAGCCCGGGCCATGGGAATTCCCGTTATAAACCCCCAGGAGGCGAGGGGCGGGGCCCGGCAGGCCTGAGTGACAGGCCGAGAGGCCTGTAGCAGCCGACCCTCCGGCAGGTGGAAGCCAATGGGAGAGGGGCAAGGGGGGCGGCTCTAGGGCAACCCCACCCAAGGAGCAACGCGAGTCAGGACCCACCCCCAGAGTGGGATCCGGGACCGGAGGGATGAAGAGTAACTTTCTCTAGGCTCGTTCCTCCCGGGGAACCTGGGAGCATCCCAGCAGCCTCAGCCCCTCCAGAATGGTCACCTGGCTGAAACAGAAGCCTTAAGCGCCTATGTTTTTACCTCATAGGGCATGAGTTGTCCCAAAACTGCGTGAAGAAGGCAGAAAAGATAAATCCGGGGGGGGGGGGGGGTTATGGCATTATGGCAATGCTATGACACAAAGACCTTGAGAATGTTCCCTGCTGCGGCACCACCAGGGGCAACCTAGAAAGCCACCAGGTGCCACCCATAGGGTGGGCAGTGACCAGCGTTAGAATGAGGAGTGGGAATATCTACTTTCTAAGTGTCGCCCTAAGACTGACATCCGAGGTCCACAGCAGCTACCTGAAAGAAGTCGCGCGGGGACAAAAGCATCCGGGACTGGGGAGACTCCTGTAGGTATGGTAATGCGCACCTGTGACCCTGTGGACCACATGACCTGGGACCAGAACCGGGGCATCCTGGTTTCCCACTCTGACCTGGAGGTCCACAACAGCAGCCTCTCTCTGGCCTAAGCTGGAGAGGGAGATCAGAGGGGCCATGGTCTCCTATGGGGAGCAGGGTAAGGCATGAATGGGGAGGGAGTGACCTGTGGGTGCAGAAATCCCAGAGACCTCTAAGAAAGGAATGATCTTTCCTGGGGGCCCAGCCTTGGAGAGAGCTCAGCAAGGAGGCTAGCCAGGTGTTGGGAGGGCTCTGCCCAGGGTGGTCTCAGAGACCAGGCTGGAAATGGTCACAGCTTCACATCAGCCTGTCCATGGCCCTCCCTGCAAGAAGCCCATGCTTATCTTCAAATGTGGAACTCAGATATTGATGCTTAACTTCCACTGGTCTGGGCCAATCTCTTGATGAGAAGAGATTCATTTCTCCAACCAGATTATAACAAAACCCAGGCTTCACAGCCCCCTGTCTACCCTGAGAGATTCTGACAAAGATTAGCTCTGCTTTCTTCTGGCTTCTCTTCTGGATTATACCAGCAAGCTTCCCGTGGGCCCAGCATCCAGCCCCCATCTGGCTGCATACAGCCTCCACCCTACAGCCCTTCTGAACAGCAAACCAGAATGCACCACTCCCTGCTCAAAAGGCTTTGCATCTCCCCATTCGCCTTGGACAGAAAACCCCAGAAAAGAATAAAGTACGTAAGGGTTTTCCAAACGAAAATAAAGAACACCTCTGAAAGGATTGTCATCTTCAGGCCAGGACTCAATGCATTAGTCAGACTCTGGAGCAAGACAATTGGGGTTAAATACTGGGTCTGCCACCTAGTGGTAAAACCTTGAAAGAGGCTCATCTGCGGTCCAGTTCCCCTCTGTGAAATGGGAGTAAAAATAGTATCCATGCCATGCAGGAGTTGTTGGTAGGATTAAAGGAATATGCAAAGCCCTTAGAACAGTATTTAAAGAGAACAGAGCAAATGCCCCAGAATGATTTTATGAAATAAAGCAAATGTCTCTGCAGACAGGTCAATGGGGTGCCATGAGACTGATTTGTCTGGCTAGTAGTTGACACCATCAATTTTCCAGCCAGGATTTTTGAAGTCTTATTCTGTCTTATAGAGACTTCCATCTCCATGTGACATCGTCTGCATCTTCTGTCTTTCCGTGGTAATTTCTCTGGAGACCTGTGTTTGCCAAACACCAGGGGAAGAGGACATAAGCAGCAAGGGTCAGGCCTTTCTGGAAACAGCCCTTGTGGTATGGAATGCTGGGGATTAACCAGCTGGACTTGAGACACTCTCCAGTCCTACAACACTTGGGCAGTTTCCCCACACCCTGAGTGTTTACCCACAGGGAGAACAACAGGATGGAAATGTTGCCACTAGGAAACCTGGCGGTTTTCTCCTGAATGACACCTGGCCATATGCAGCCATCAAGTTGCTCCACTGCTTTCTGGAATTATTGAGAAATCTGTTGGAATCAGCAAGCATGCTCAGATGGCCCCTGGTATCTGGCAGCGCAAAGCCCCCAGGGAAAAGGGTTGCAATAGTCCTTTCCATCCCCAACCCCAAATGCTGCTTTCCAGCCAGAAAACTCACTTCCAAGTGGTCATTGATCCAAAAGTCTATATTGTGCTGGACCTCAACCATGTAGCTTAGCTTAAAATATGAGCAACTGCTTTCCAGTTACTTTGCTCAGCAAGTATTTTCTTTCCCGCTGGTTGGCATTCAGGGTCTGTCATGACTATGGGCAGACAGCATGCTGATGACATGTTTTCTTCTGACTCCTCCCAATCCCAGAGAAGCTTAGAAATCCCAGAGAACTCCTAGTTCTAAACAGCATCTCTCTGCCAGATTCAATCTTCTGATTCAAGCAAAAAAGTGAAATTGACAAGTTCTGTCTTTCCCTGGAAACCAGGTTTATGACCCAAAAATAAATTTAGCTAACCTGGCAACTGGTCTGTCTAGTTTCAGTCATACTCCCTGCCCTGTGGGACTCCTGCTTGCAAGAGGATATTTCAGTAGAAGAAAAATACTTTCTATCACAACTAAGGTCTGGGGGGCTCAAATTTGTAGTCCTAGCGGGTAATTCCTGTTT